ATAACTGGTGCACAGCTGTGGTTGTCCCTGATAGCTTATACTCAGACTTGGGTATCTAGTGGAGCTATGGTTCCTCAGTTTATCTGCTTGCAGGCTTTAGTTTCTTTCAGGAATTTGGCCTCTGATCTTACAGTTTGTTGATCTCTGACTCCCAGACTTCTTATCCTACTTGCTGACTAGACTAGCCTGAGGTTTGCTGGTGAATTACAAGCATCTGCATACGCATTGATGCATGGTGTTGAACTTCCCTGAGGAACTGTGCACTTTTTCATTCTGTCTAGTTTCTGGCGCAGTCCTGCAGGCCCCTGTGGCCTGTGGTCCACTTTGCAGTCAGTGACACTTGCATGCATGCAGACATGCATGCATATATATACAGAGATTAGTGTCCTCTCATTTGGAAAAATATTTAGCAGTAGAGTTCAATAAGAAGGTTGGACAGACTGTGATGTTCAGATCCCGGGCTTGGCCTGACAAGTGTTCTGACCAGGGATCTGTTTACACTCTGCTGGACCTTTACGGTTGTTTGTTTGGTTTGGTTTTGTGTGGATTTTTTGTTTGTTTGTTGTTTTTTTTCTTCTACATGCTTGTGCTTTCTCAGTCTGCCTTATTTTCTCCCTTTCTCACCTTTGGTTCTTTAAACATCCCATGCTGCCTTGCATATTCCAATGCTCCCCTTAAAAAAATTCCAGCAGTACATTTTATAGAATCCTGAAATGCTCTTCCCCAGCATCCTATACAGACCCCCTTGCTCCTGCAGACAGTAACACCCTTCAGCGTGTGATTTCTCTAGCTATCTCCTCTTAACTAGGTTTCATTCCCAGCGTACAGGCTGGTTGCTCAGCTTTCACAACCCTAGGAGCAACTTGGGCAGGGTGATCCATCTCCACAGGTGAAGTTGCTAAGGGTTCCCCTGTTTGCTGATTCCTCTGCTCCTCACTGGGCCTTTGTGCTTACAGTGACTCAGCATTAAATGTGTAACATAGTGGGCAGGACAATATAATGGAGAGCTGAGTGTGCAGAGCCTTGGCAAATGACAGGAGTAAAGCCTGGAATTTCTGGGAAGATGTGCTGTGACAGCATCATGGACAGATGTAGATGGCAGTCTGTGGTGCCATCTGGCCTAACCCTGCCCAGTAATGGAGATGGGTGGGAAATGTTGCTACCCAGGGGTCTGGCCACAGTCTTAAAGCACAGAACTAGTTAGGCTCTGATCCTAAGCTACATCCTGGAGCCTGGCACTGAGAGTGCTGAAGTGTTTCCCCAGGGCACACCTCTGCAGGTTCACTGGAGTGGTAACTGGGGTGGATGTCAGTTAACTCTTGACCATATCATGAGTGCAGAACTCATGAGATGGTAATGTCATGGTGTTCTTTTTCCCATGACAGAAGGAAGGTTTAGACTCTGGTGCACATGTCTAAACCATTTCATACAACAGACCTGATTTTATTTGTTGAATTCTGGGCTTAGTTTACTAACATATGAGGGTTGTAGTTAATTTACAATACCTCTGGCCTTCATAGTATGAGACTGGTGACTGGAATAGAAAGTAAATGACCAGACTTTTTTTTTTTTTGTGAAGAGGCAGAGTTTAAATAATTTTCTGATGCGGTCAGCCGTACATACAAACTTTGCGCTCAGTGTAGATACTTGAACAACTAGTTTGTATCCATTCTTTCTCTTTCAGTCCTGCCTGGGAATGGAAAATCAAATGTAAATTAAAAGGTTGGCAGAACACTTCCTGAGTTGTCCAAGTAGGAAAGCAACTTGAAAGGTGGAAGCAGTGGCTGCAGTAGTAGCAGCAACGTTTACAGTTTTCACCAGCCCTGTTGGAATCCTTGCTGGGCCTGTGGGGGTGGAAATAGTGGCTGCAGAGGCAACAGCAGAGCTCTGCTTTCAAGTAGCAGTTTTCACCCTATTAATGGGTGTGCTTGCTCTCAGAGTTGGGATGGTTGTCTTATGCCTCCCCAACACATCAAAAGCATTCATAATATTCAGCTATGTTGATCAAAATCTGGTGGACTCAGCTTGAGAGAATACGGAGTAGTGTAGTTCCCTAAGATAAAGCTGAGAATGCAATTACTAACAGTTTTGTATGTCAACATGAAACATCACTGCAAAATACACCACAATGCATGTCAGTATTAAGGACTATATCACAACTACAGCTCTCAAGAAGCACTTATCATTGATAAACAACAAATTAACACTAAAACCAGCTGCAAAGCAACATATCTGATACCTTGCATACCATAGGTACAACATCATTGTTCAATTTCTAGCCCTTTGGGACTCTGATACTCTCAACAGAGCCATTCCGGTATCCTACTACCAAATTCAGAATTCAAACTGTTTAGACAATTAGTCAGGATTTAAGCCTGAGCTCAAGCTAATGAGACTACATTTGGTGCCATAAATCTGTCATGGTTTAATGCTGGGCCAGCAATTAAATGCATGACAAATTGCTCTCTGTTAACCCTTCCTCCGCTTATAGAGAAATGTGGAAATAGGGAAGAGAGACTCTTAACAGGTTGGAAAATAAACTACACAGCTTTAATGATACAGTAGTGATGAAAAGGAAAAGAATGAAAAATATATAAATATACACAAAAGCTCTATCACCCACCCACCCTCCCATCAATAACACCCACATCACCACTGAGGATGTAGGGCAGGCCCTGGAAAAGTCCCAGACTCAACTCCTGGAGTCAGTGGCAGATGGGAGCTTGGATGTAGGAACACAGGCATTGGGATCAAAGGCAGATGAATGGATGGAATCCTCCCAGGACACTGGCCATGGACAAAGAAAGAGCTTGACCCCATGATCCCTCAAATTTATATCTAGTATGATGTGTATGGAGTAGAATACTTTGGTTAATTTTGGTAACACCTGTCTGGTCTGCGTCTCCCTAAAGGAGGGTCTCTGGTTCCGAAGCACAAGATGTTTTTTCAGAACCAAACAGTGGCCTTGGTTCTGTGTATCATTCTCCAGCAGTTTACCATAAACATCAGTATTATCAGTCCTAGAGACAGATACTAACTGAGAAACATGCTGCCCATTTCAGAAACTGCAGCCACTTAGAAGGGACTCAACTGAAAAGTAAAATCACAAAAAAGAAAATTAATTCTATCCTGTCTCAAAGCAGGACAGATTCATACCATTTAGTTCTGAGAAGAATGCATCACAGTAAATAGTCTATTCCTAGTTTATTATAATGGCATTTGACAGTACATTGCTCTTTACTTACCTAAGATGCAGAACATTTAATAATCTTTGCCAGGTGTTATGTGCATATGGAAACAGCTACACATTCTCCTTCGTCATTTATTGCATGCTACCATACAGATTTTTTTGCAATACTTCCAAAAAATGGGAGAAAGAGAAGAGTCTATTGATTTGTAACCTTTGCTATTACCATAAAAGGAAATAACAATCAAAATAACTATTTTTCAGGGATATGGCTAGAAGTATTACAGTGTTCTCACTCTTAACATAGCCACTGGACACCTGAAAAAAAAAATAATCTTGTGAGAACATGAGGAAAAGGGTTCAGTATTCAATTTTAGGAAAAGCTGGGTAGATGGGCAAGGAAGGATTAAGAGCAAGTAAATAATTTTCTTTACCCAAGTCCCGAGATGGTCAGCTGTTTGTAGGTTTTCCCTGTCTTCCTGCCTCACTGGCAGACAGGTTTAACCACGCTGTGAGGGCAGGAAGAGCAGTAACTAGAGTCCTTTTGATGGTCTGCGATCCAGGTGGACAGCCACTCATGATCCTCCCCACGGACAGGCAGTGTTCACCAGAAGCTCACAGGAACTGGCAGGCCTTCTCCAGCACTCCCAGGGAGCAGCAGTATTTTGCCCCTTTACGCTGACTGACCATATTTCCCTTAGTCTCTCTAGAGAGCTGGCAGACTTCTCCACTGACCAGCAGCATTTCCTTTGCATTCCAAGAGAGCCAGCAGGAGCCTGGCTGCTGCAGTCCTTTTTATAAGTTGTTACAGCATATTTCCCTGTGCTGGACTGGGCTTCGCCCTCTTCCCGGGCTACAGTCCAACCACTGCGGGTTGGCAGCGGTCTCTGGGCAGCACTTCACACCAATGTTTCCAGTGGATTCCCACTACAGGATTCTCTTGTCTTTAACATGGAGTCCAGTCTGAAGTTTATGTCAGGGAGGAGGGGAGAGACAGGCAAAGTCCCCATACAGTTTATGGGCAGCTGTTTTGTGCTCATTCACTGCCTTGCGAGCCATGTAGTTTTTAGGAGAGGGGCACTGACTCCTACACATGGCAGCTGAACTGTCTCTGTGATTCTTTGTCTTTCTGCCTTCTTTCTTCCTAGATATTTCACAGCGTTTTCACAGTTTGAAATGTTTGAAGTGCACGAGCATTTCACAGAAGCATCTGTTCCTTATCCCTTGTATAAAGCACTTGAAACCTTATAGTAGAATAGAAGTCTTTAAAGAGAAGAAATAAAGAGGTGTGGATATTGAATGCAATTTAACAGTTGAGTCACATTTCATTGTAAAAATTGGCCCTTTGTGAAGCTATGAGATTTTGATGTAGGAGAGGTGCATGGTGGTGGAGTGATGATAATTTCATGAAAATAGCTTCTTAATTTCAAAAGAAAAGAGTAAATAGTATTTGAATGCAACTGAAACTACAGGGTGTTTTTTTCAAATAATTTAACTGTGTGATAATTTATTCTCAGTTTTAGAGAAAAGTTCCTAATATTAGGGAGAGGCTACCAGTGAGGATTGTTATTCTGAAAGACTAGTGGAAATATTTGCTTTATCCTTGTGTATTGCTAGGCAAAATTAAAAAAAACTCATTCTCAAGTGCTTCATTTAGCACTTTGTGTGTTACCTTTATTCATATGTAGCCAGCATATTGGTCCACCACCACATAGTTCCTTTAGTACAGTAAACTTAGAAACGTTACCTTACACTGTAAAAGATGTAGATTAAAATGTCCCCATTTTTTTTTATTTTTTTTTTTTTTCCCCAGGCAGGATAACAGTATAGACTCTACTTCTTCTCTGAGAGAAGAAAACAAGCTGGAAGGTCAGGAATCAAAACAAGGTATGTAGTGAAGAAAGCTGAAATTTTGTTTTCTTGATGTTAGGCAGTGACCAGTTTGAATTAACTGATAGCTGTCTTTATCAGTAGCTGCCATCACAGACAACCATCCTCTTAGAAATCAGCTGGTGTAAGGTTACAACCTCTCCCTTGGATCCAGTTGCAGAAAGGAAAGGTGGAATGTTGTAGGAACTTTGCCTTCTAAATTCTGTGCGACTGGATTTTTTTGTGGCTAGAAACAAATCGCTGTTCTTCAAAGTCTGCTGAATTAGCTTCTGGAACATGCACTTGAAAGGCTCATTTGGCTCTTCATATTTAGTTTTGCCACTGAGGAAGAATTTCAGTAATTTCAATTTCTTGCTATATAGGTGATTACTAATAGAATCATAGAATCACAGAATGGTTAAGGTTGGAAGGAACCTTAAAGATCATCAGGTTCTAACCTCTCTGCTGTGGGCAGGGACGCCTCCCACTAGACCAGCTTGCACAAAGCCTCATCTAACCTGGCTTTAAACACCTCCAGGAATGGGGCATCCACAACCTCCTTAGGCTATTCCAGTACTTTACTACCCTCATGGTGAAGAATTTCTTCCTGATGTCCAACCTAATTCTACCCTCTTTCAGTTAAAAGCCGTTACCCCTTGTCCTATCACTACCCTCTCTGGTGGAAAGTCCCTCTCAGCTTTCTTGTAGTCCCTTCAGGTACTGGAAAGCTGCTGTAAGGTCTCCCCAGAGCCTTCTCCAGGCTGAACAGCCCCAACTCTCTAAGCCTGTGTTCATAAAAGAGGTGCTCCAGCTGTCTCATAATCTTCATGATCCTCCTCTGGACCCTCTCCAACAGCCTGTATCTTTCCTGCGCTGAGGGCTCCAGAGCTGTACACAGTACTCCAGGTGTGGTCTCACAAGAGTGGAGTAGAGAGGCAGAAACACCTCATTCTCCCTGCTGGCTGTACTTACATTACTGACACTACCATTTGTTGAATCCTTTGAGAGGTCAGTTTACTTTCGCTTGAGGTGATCATAAAACTCTACAGTACTCTGTTTTGACATTCATAGAAATCTATTATAATAATTGTTTACAAAGGATCTTCATGTAATTTAATGATTGTGTTCAGTCTTGATACATGATACCTTGCTTTGTTTGATTGTGCAGAGCTGAGATCCAACAGACTGGTGCTTATACCCAGCACTACTGATTACTATTATATTTTACTTGAAGTCAGTGCCAGTGGAAATACACACTCAGTCTTTGAATCTCTGAGGACAAATATTTTGTCTTGTCTGTTTCTCTTCCTAAAAGCAGAAATGTAGTGGGTGAGACATTCAGGTGCTACAGTGACTGGCAGAATAAAAAATACAAAAGCAGATAAAATACACTCAAGTGGTATGCACTTGAGTACCTGCAGTGTAAGGAAACAATTTTCTTAACCTGAAGCAGTTATTTGTTTTATTCCAGTCATTAAATCAGCACCAATTGCCAGTATTATTTTGTGTATGAAGCAGTAGAGATATTAGGTGATTCTGCCTCAGTCTGTTTAATTTCATTTGGACTAGCTGTAGGCAGTAACATCAGAAATAGCTTTTCCAATCAAAGAATGTTGCAAATTCCTATAAGCTATATTTCACTTCTGCAAAGATTTAATAATACTTGCTTCCTGCAACTCCTACTTCAGAGTTCAGAATGCTCTCTAAAAGATGTATCTTGGAATAACTTCAAGAAACATATTTTTTTCTGAAGTAATTAGTGAAGGGAATTACATGGAGAAGAAAAGAGTAATGATAAAACCTTCATAACTTTTAGGAGCAGGTTGCTATGGCTTTGTGAGGAATGCTTTAAATGCTGCTTGTTGTACTATATGAAGTGATCTTAGAACTGATGGATTTTCTGAAGATCTCTTACCCTTTTGTATTATCAAAGGGAATTGATGACTGTTGCAGGTGATTGCTTTGTTGTTGTTTTTTATGACTTAATAAACTAGAGTATCATTATGGCTTTGGGCTGTAAGAGTAGCTCCACTTAAGATATTAGCTTTAAGGAGCTTTAGAGATCCTCCATATACATTTAGAAATATAACTCTAATCATTCTGTTGAGTGGCAACCTGTGATTCTATGGGAAGAGAGACTGAGAGAATAAGCAAAAGTGAATGAAATGAAATAAATAAAAAAATTTAAGTGTGCTAAAATGTATTTTGCAACTCTAGCTGAAGAAAAAAAGTGGAAGATATCAAAATGAAAAATATAATAAGGTAAATTACAACCATGGTCTGTATTACTGTGTAAAATTACAACTGCTATAGAGGAAAATAAAACCCATAATCTAATTAAATAGTTGTAGGACAATCTGATTATATTAATACTGTATTATACACTTTTGGAGGCTCCAGGAGCAAAAGCTGTGCACTAAAACAAAGGAAAATAAGGTATTAACTTACTATTTCCCATTGACAAACAGATTTTTAGCCACTTCTTGGAAAGCAAAGCCTCAGTGGGCTTAACAGTTATTTGGGAAAACAAATGCCATAATACTGAATCATAATCCCTCTTTACTCCTTCTTTCCTGAAGCTTTTATTGCAGAGCACAACATCATATGGTGAGAATATCCCTCTGGTCAATTAGGCTCAGATGTCTTGGCTGTGTATCCCTCCCAACCTCTTGCCCACCCCCAGCCTGATTGCTGTGGGTTCAGAGTAAGAAGCAAAGAAAGCCCTGCAGCTGTGCAAGTACTGTTCAGAACAGGTGTTACTAGGGTGTTACCAACAGTGTTTCAGAAACAGAGCCAAAACTAAGCACCTTGCAGGCTGCTGTGAGGAAAATTAACTCCATCACAGCCAGACTCAGCACAAAGTTAGTTTCTCAGTGGCCATGAAGTAGGGCAAGTATGCTCAGAAGTTAACTTCCAGGCTTTGAACTCTGATCTGTTGATGCATCTTTTTTTTTTTGGGCCATGGCAATCTTGCTTGGTTGAGCAGTGTGTTAGGTAAATACTGACTGATGCCATGTAGCAAGACAGAAGAATTTCCATTTCTTAATCCTGTTGATTCCCATTGCATATATCTTTTACATGATTTGTGTCTTGCAAGTTTAAAAGATAGTATTCAAAGTTGATTTGATAGTAAGGGAAATAGATAAAACTGCATCTGAAACTGAAATATTAATCTCCAAATTACTATCACAGCAGGACAGGGCAAAACTGCTTAGCATAGAAGAACCGGGTATTTTCGTATCTTAGGAGTTCATTTTATACACACTGCTATGAGGAGGGTTATTTATTAATATCCTAATTTGTTTTTGAAGTGCAAAAAAATCTGCCTTCCTTTTGCTTCCCCTTCCCTCTTTTCCCTTCCCCTTCCCTCTTTTCCCTTACTTATTTTTCAGGCAGAGGCAGTACGTATTGTAGCTTTCTTAGCAGTCAGTATAGTTTTGATTTTCACATCCTCAGGATAGAAGGAACATTTTACACCCTGAGATAAACAAATCTTTCCAACTGTTTTACTGCACTGCTCATGAATTAGAACGAAACGCATGTACAAAAAGGTGTTTAAAAATATTTTTTAAAAAAACAGATCCCTATGCTGATCACCTCAGGCTTGTGTTTTCAAGAAAAGTCTCATATTCCTTTCCCTGCATTTTGAAATATTTACTGGATAATGAAAGACCCTGAAATGATACCAGCATAAATCAAAGACTTCTAAAAATGTTGTTTCCGAGAGGCATTACTCTGCTGTGAAGGGAGAGAGTTGCTTGTATTTGGCCAGTTTCAAAGGAACTTTCTTATTGAGAGGAATAATTTTTTAAATATTTCCAGAAGTTTTCCAGCAGTAAAAGATTAGATGTGAGCATCTTGAGCAAAAAAGCCAGCAATAGGAAGATAATTAGTTAAAGGCATTAAAATCAGAGGTCCATGCTGCGTTAAGACTGCTTTATCGATATTTTGGGGTTTTTTAAATATTTTTAGTGTTTGAAAGATTTTGATTGCCTGCTGTTAAAAATGAGCAGTTCATAGGGGATGTACTTGCTTGGGTTTTCAGTAGCTGGTAGTTCTGCTGCAATTCTTGCAAGTCAGTACTTCTAGCCCTCAGCTTTGAGGTTCAGGAACCAAAGATATGGGTGGATGAAACTAGCAATTCCAAAAAATATTGAACAGTTTGCTGAGAGAGAACCTCTTAAGAGCTGTATGTCAACATACTCGGTCTAAGAATCAGTCACAGAATTGCTTAGGTTAGAAGCATTGAGTTCATCAAACCCCATACTCCTGCTCAGGTAGGTTGCTCAGGACCATGTGCTGTCAAGTTTTGAATAGATGCAGGCATGGAGACTCCACAACCCCTCTGGGAAACCTGCTCTAGTATTTGACCACTCTTACAGTAAAAATGTTAAGTGTGTTCTTACACAGAATCACTGAACCAGGGGTTGAAAGGAACCCTGAAAGATCATCTAGTCCATACCACCTGCTAGAGCAGGATCCCCTAGAGTAGGTTACAGAGGAACACATCCAGGAGTGTTTTGAAATGTCTCCAGGGAAGGAGACTCCACAACCTGCCTGGTTCCAGTGCTGTGTCATGTGACAAAAAAAACCAAACCAAAACCCCAATATATATATAAAAAAAATCAATGAGAAATGGAAAAACAATCAAGAGTAACATATTGCCACTAGTTCTGTTAGTGTGCAGTACTAAGAAGAGCTTGGCTTCCCTGTCTTCATGCACTCGCATATTTTTAAAGGAGAAATAAAATTTTTAAAAAACAAGCTTGCAGTACCATCTGAATATGGGATAAAGAATATTTTTGATATATAGGGCATCATTATAGACTAAACTAGCTTGCACAGGAATTTTAACTCCATTTGAATCCTCATGGCAAGAAATGATATATATTTCAAACCCACAGATCTTTAGTTCTAAACCCTCATTATTAATCAACAAGAAACATAGCCATGCCTTTGGGTAGTCATACTACCAAAAACAATGATAAAACCTTTAGAATTGGTAACGGTACAATCATATGACTATAAAACGCTCATTTTAAAGAGGAACCATCCTACTGTAAGTTTGCACAATTACAAAGGTTGGTAAAGGACCAATAATTTCTGAGGCCTATGTATCAAAAGCACTTGTCTCCCTGTAGCCAGATTGTCATAACAGTTAGGTTCTGTTAGAGTTTTGCTTTCTTAATTGCGCTGCCCCGTCCAGTTATTTTTTTTAACTGAACTCCAACTTTAATAAAGCATTGAAAGACAGTGTCATACTTTCTCCATATTTCTACTGACTTAACATTGGAAATACTTGTGATTGATTCTGAATAGTTGTACTATAAGGGCAGTTTCTATTCATTTTAATACTGTACCTGACGACAGTGTCCCTCACCTTTAAAAATACATAAATCAATTTTGAATTGTGATTTTTAAATTTGCATTTTAAGTTTACTTAAAAGATAATAAACAATAATCAATTTTGCACTGCAGAGGCTTCCTTGTGATATAAAATCTAATGACATTATAATTAGGAAAATAGATCATGTAACTCAATAGGATGGAATAAATTTTCCTGGTACTGCTGCTTTGTTATACTACATGTTCCTCTAAATTGGCATAAAAATGCATTAACTCTTGTCTAAATTAGATCAGCCTTAAAAGTTGGAGGAGAAAAAGAAGAATTAGTTGTCTTAAATTCACATATCTTTTTGCCACTCTTAATCTGCAGAGAAACACTTTAAGCAGAAGCAATTTTGTAAGTTGAAAGAAAAATAGTTCTGTTAGGCAACTATATGATTGTTGCTTTTGTGTTACAGGCAAGGGAGAAGATAGTGATGTCCTCAGCATAAATGCAGATGCATATGATAGTGACATAGAAGGCCCATGCAATGAAGAAGATGGCCCAGATATGCCAGAAAATGGTATAAGAAGTGGAGCTGGTCAGATAGATGACCTTGAGAAGGACATTGAGAAAAGTGTGAATGAGATACTGGGGTTGGCAGAGTCCAGCCCAAAGGAGCCTAAAGCAGCTACTTTAGCTGTTCCTCCGTCAGAAGATGTTCAGCCATCAGCACAGCAGCTGGAGCTTTTGGAGCTTGAGATGAGGGCCAGAGCTATTAAGGCTCTGATGAAAGCTGGTGATGTAAAAAAACAGCCCTGAGATTGTTTAGATTTTATTTTAAGCAGTTGTTTTGAAGGATGTGATGTCTGTTCTTATAAGTGCTAATGTGTATTTGGGTTGGGTATGACATTCCTTATTAAAACCCTTCTGAGTATCCTGACCTGTGGCTTAAGCCATTGGTAGTTGCATTTACTGCCTTCAAGCGTGCTGCTTCCATGACGTGCACAGACAGAATGGCTTGATGCTTCACTGATATCAGATCTCATTGTGCGGGGTTATCTCAATCTGGTGCCTTCCAGAAGGGTCAGGAGAATCAGTTATCAATTTTATTTATTAGTAACCTGTTAAACTACTTGAGGAATTTGATTTATATGTACTTCACTAAAAATACCATTTAGAAGAGTCTTTTGTCATGTGACTGCCTTCAGCAGTCTGTGATGGGATTCAAGATTGCTTATTTCTCCTTGAGGCCCAGCTCATCATAATGTAGCTATGCTAGTTAAAATGAATGATGATTCACCTAAAAGCATATATAATTTTTAGAAAGCTGAATTCCTAGAGGGAGGATTTTTTTTTCCTTTCAAATAAACAATTGAACCATGTTATTTGCAGAGTTATTAAAGTGCCTGAAAGTGACAGATACCAGAGTTTTTATATGGTTGGTCATGTAATTTTGTCAGTTGTGTTCACTGTTTATCTTCTCTGTTGTAACTGAAATAAAAAGAAACATTTTTTCTTGACTGTGAAGCTTTTTTTTTGTTTAATATTTGGGGTAATATGCAAGGCAATGCAACAAATCAGATTGTTTAGAAGACCTCAAGTTTTTAAAATGTAACTGATTTAGTAATTTCATGTCCCTTGTAAATAAGAAAACCCACCAAACTTCAGTCTGTTTTTTGGAAAAGGCATTTTTGTTTTTTATTATATATATTTTTAAAATAATAATTATACTTTTACCCATTTTGAGGGTATTTCTTTGTAAGACAATTGTGTTATAGGATTAATTTTCTTGCTACCATTTCTTAAAACAATTAAAATAATTCTGATTTTGTTTAGAGTTAGTGCTGGTTTTATACTTCGCTGCTGTTGTGGTTTAACCCCACTCAGCCTCTTGCTCACTCCCCCATGCAGTGGGATGTGGGAGAGAATTGAAAAAAAAACAGAAGTCAAACTTGTAGGTTCAGATAAAGACAGTTTGGTAGGACAGAAAAGGAAATTAATAATAATAGTGGTGATTATACAATAGTGGTAATATATACAAAACAAGTGAAGCACAAAACCATTGCTCACCACCTACTGACTGACAAGTCAGCACATCCCTAGCCTGCAATCTCCTCCAGCTAACACCCACCGCTTTATATCCTGGGCATGAGGTCACATTATATAGAATATTCCCTTGGCCAGTTTGGATCAGCTGTCCTGGCTGTGTCCCCTTCCAGATTCCTGTGCTCAGCCAGCCTTTGCTGACAGCAGCACAATAACTGAAAAGTCCTTAACTTAGTATAACCAGTGCTCAACAACAACTAAAACATCTCTGCGTTATCAATACTGTTTTCAGCACAAATCAAAACAGCTCCATGCCAGCTACTATGAATAAAATCAAAACCAGCACAGCTGCTAATCAAATGCATAATAAAGTACTTGTGTGTTTGTTTACATACACAGATAGATTTTTTTAAGGTATGAAGTTGCGGAATGTAGTCCTTATTAAGTAAAATTATGTATTATATATTGTTAGTCTTGGTTTTTCCTTTTTTTTTTTTTTTTTTACTTAGAAAGCAAATCAGATCATTTGCAACAGTAACAGAATTTTCACATGGTATTTTGTATTATTGCTGCAGTCTTTGTTCTAGTAAAATATGTCTTGAAGTCTCTTGGAAGATTTATAATCTTCTTTTTCATTTCCCCCTTGCCCCCTCTTTGTTTTTCCCTTTGTTTACTTTTTTCAGTTTCTTTTTTTCCCCCTTTTAAACCATTTCCCTTTTCCCTGTTGGTAGGCAAGTGCATTGTCTTCAGTAGCAAGCTTCTTATATATTTCTTAAAGTATGCTTAATTTCTTCTGGAATCAGTATATTGTGAGTAAAGTGGTTGCAAAATAGCACAGTGTAAATTTGATTATAAACTAAACCCGTCAATAAATACAGCTAAAAAATTACTGTGTGTGTTCATGAAATGGTGACAGTGATGGGAGTAAATTTCACCTGACTGTAATTAGTGATCTGCAGCAAAAACATTTTTCTGTGATATTTTAACAAATGGAGCATGTAAGTTAGAATATATATATCCAATTCAAAAAGTACCTGAACTGCCTCAGAATATGTGTGTGTTATCTTCAGTTAATTTCATTTGGCTGTGATTTATTTGAGGACAGGGAAACAAAAGCAGGTAATGAGAGAAAGGCAGTTGGCAAAACCTAGATGTGGTGTTTTGTTCTTTGTAAAGTTATAGGCTGCTGTAACCATGTTAGACTATAAAAATAAGTTTTATTGCTGCTATACTTAGATCCTGAATACCTCACTTTGCCTGCTGTAGAAAAATAACTGCTCACCTGCAAGGACATTTGCTTCCTTGTCCTACTGGTATCACATGCCAGTTCTACAGCTCTGCCATATAGTATTGAAGAGGCTTGCAAAATCCCAAGCAATGTGAATAAACGAAAATCAGTCCTTAATATTGAGTAAAAATGTGCAATACAGTAATGGTGAACAAATGTTATAGCCTGTGTCTTTCTTTTTTACGGGTACTTCCAACAGCTGTGGTATTACCACCTGCAGAGGCAGCTCCTTGCTGATATTAGAGACTTAAGGGGTAAATTTGCCGTACCTATGTGATGCTGAATAGTAGAATATTTTAATGTTTGTTACGAGGTGTTGTGTTGAACTAGGATGTGTCTCGCCTGAGAGACTAAGAAGCAGGATTCAGCTGGGTACATGAGCCGACCTGCCAGAATGAAGAACAACATGACCCAGCACAGTGAAGAAGACTGTGAGCCTTCCTCCAAGAGACCCCTTCCCATGATCACCGGAAGGCACTGCACATGCAGGAATGGGCGTAGCTTGATATGAATGATTTTGGGGAAACTTTAAATATTATAATTAATTCAGGGATTAATCTGTATAACCCTGCCTATTCTTTTGTTGCATAATGCATAAGTATATTTTTAAGTGAGTAAATATATACTGTCCTTGTCTGTTGGTGTGTGTGTTTGGAGGAGTGATCCCCTGTGCACCCAGCACTGCAATAAAGAATACCTGCTTTACAACTTCACAGGGCTGTAGAGTCCATGTTCTCACACCAGCATGTCTTGGTAAGGCATAATGTAGGATGTCTTAGGAAAGCTGAATGTAGATCAGGTTTCATTATGAATATGTTTAGTATGCCACCCAAAGAACTGATACAGGCAAATGTGTGAAATCTTTTCCGTGGTGTCACAGAACGATAGATTTGCAGTTGTTTGGCAGCAAGGAAATACTGCTGGAAGTAATGATAAACTAGAATGTAGTTCTCTTCTGCTGCCTACTTGCTGGAGGAACATGGCATACACTTCTGATCTGAGCTTCATTTTCCAGTTGGTTTTCCAGATCACCTTTAAAAGTTCATTTTGTAGTGTGTTAAATGGTCAAAGGTTATTATTTCAAAATATGTATCAAGGAGTTGCATAAGCTAACTTTGATATGTAGTGCGACAAAGATGAAAGAGATTTACTGTCAATGTGACAGAGGAGATTTGTAATTGTGACCCAATTACATTTCAAATAAAAGAGAAGGATTCCAAGAAAATTAAATAAAGCTGTTTAGAAAAACAAATAATGAAAGATATATCATAACAGAGACTTCATGTGCTTGATTTCAGAGGTGCTAGTTCATTTTTAGGATTGCAGTTTTGTTAAAAACATGTCAGCTAATTCCTATGTGTTTCTGCATTGATTCATATAAGTACACAATTAAAAAAAATCCAGTGTATTTAAAATACATACGCAACTCTTGTTGTTCACTTTTAAATATATTTCTGATTTTTTCCATTGAAACAGAGCATTAACCAAACTCCTCTCTCCTGATGCCTGTGCACCTGCAGGGGCGGCTGCAGGAGAGGTGGCAGCTGATGTCACAAAGGGGTGATGGTGACGTCAGCGCATGACGGACTGTGACCTCACGGCCCTGGCTGCTTATATTTGGGTGCCAGCCCAGCCTGGCTCAGTCTGCCTCGTGCCTGGACTCCGACCGAGCGTGCCTGCGAGGTCTGGAAGCTCGCGCGAGGCTTCACCTGGTGCCGGACGGTGCTTTGGGAGCTGCCGGCGTCGGCAGCTCTGAGTGCCCATCCCGGAGCCAAACCCTGTGTTTCCCCAGCCCTGCCTGGCTCAGGAAGCCGGGCGCTGCCAGGACTCCCTTGCAGCAGCAGAGGTGAGGTGTGAGGCGAACACCTCCCCTGGAGCAGCCGTGGGGCTCGGGCAGCTGGGCACGTGGC